ATGTCAACTTGTACAGTTTTCTGTCATTAATGTATAAAAGACTTTTTATTTATGTGATCATAACACACATTTAAAATTTTGAAATAAAATTTCAAATTACTTACTGTTGTGATTTCTTTTCAGCTTCATTTTTTCTGGTTGTCGCAGATTATTTTTATCTCCGACATAACTCCAATTTGATTGCTAAATACAAAAAAAAAAAAATTAGGAAATAAATGATAAAAAAAATACATGCATGCTGACAATGAAGACAATGAAGAAAGGTACCCTCAAAAATGGATAATGATATGAATTGTTTAGAAGATTCCAAAGCTGCTCGATTGCTCTAAATTTTCAGTAAAGTTGAAATGTTTTTCGTATCTTGGTTTATAAATTCTGATTTGAAAAGACGGCAAATATTATATGATAATTATAGCTGGATTATATATAAAATCAAATGCTTTGTAAACCTCAGTAATCATATCTTCAGCACAAGTTAATTAAAAATTCAACTATTTTAGTGAAACTGAAAAATTTTGCCATAAATTATTTCCCAAAATAATAATAATTTTAGCAATACTCTTGCTTTAGCAAAACTATTTTAGTAAAGTTATTTAAATGAATAAAATTTGGACTAATATTGCGCAACTAAAATAAAAAATGTTTACAGTACCTTCTATAATTTCTTGTTTAACCTTGTTGATCTCATTCCTTACATCTCTTACGATTTCTTGTTTTAATGTTTCCAGCTCAGCTGGTAAAGGCAATGATAAACCTGATTCGCCATTAACTTGCTGCAAATGCAAATAAAGAAATATATACCTAATATAATATATTTAATAGTATATGTCCTTATGATATACAATGTCCCTATTATGACTGACAATTGTAAATCAACAAATTTGCTAAATATTGTTAACTGGACAGTTGTAAATATAGTAGTGAATAAATACATATAGTTAATATGTTTACATACATATTAAAATTATTTTTATAAATTTTACTTTTAAATGGTCATAAAGGTATAAATAAACAGACTATGCTAAACAGTATAATATAAAATTTTTGAGGGGGTTCGCTTTTATGAAAAAACTGATTTTAATAATGGTAAATGATTTGAGTGAATGTATCTCCTCTTCGAATAATCTTAAGAAAATTAAATTTTCTTAGAAAATGGACTTAAAATTATGTGGTCTAAATAGGAATCGACATCATACACATAAAATGTTTAATAATTCGGTGAAGTTCATGCTAAGTGTTAAGTAGTGATGCTCACTAGTACAAATAAAATATAAAATCTAATAATTCTAGAAACTAATCCAACTCATTTACAAGTTTTTATAGAATGCAAGAATGTAATAACAATGCCTTTATTACTTATTTTTGATTTACAATACCTTAAGAATAGTTTCCTCTGAGGCTGACCCAAATCGTTTTCTAATGGGTCTGGGGCTTTCGGATCTATTGTTAGGGTCCCTGTCGTTATTGATATTATTTGAGTTACTAGAACTTGTATTTAGTTTATGTGGCAGTGTGTTGCTTTTTTCCCATGGTCTTCTGCAACTCTCTTCTGGTTCCTAACAAAATCAAATCAACGACTAGTAAAATAAATATGATAATAATTGACACTTTAATGTAATGTGTAGCTGGTAAAACAATAGCGAATAACAATATTGTGTGCATTACCATCCACCAAATTATAAATTAATGATGAAAATGAATTTAAAATAGTTTAATTAATAGTTTGTTAATCAGACTGGAGAGCACTCATTGAACTGTTATAGTTTTCATAATATTCTCAATATCGTAAATTTTGAGAATGCGTTTTGTGTAATATACGTTAAATTTCTTCTACTTCTCCAATAATAGTTTACTGGTTAAATAAAAGTCATTAATTACCTCTGGAGGTGGTTTCTTCTCAACCTGAGCTCGCCGCCTGGCTAAAGTTTTGGCCATCTCATCCATCATTGATGCCATTCCTCCGCCGCTGTTTCTTCCTAATATTAAGATATAAATATACATTATGATAAAAGTTAATGATACAATGTTTATAATGATATAATTATTGACCGCCAATAATACATATGTTATAATAGGAAACTCTACAGAGTATTTCGAAAGATAAATAAATATAAAGAGAAACATCTTCCAATAGTTATTCTTAACAAAATTTATCAAAATAGAGTTTAGTCCAATTTGTCAGCCAAAGTAAATATGTTTAAAATTGTGATGTATTTTTTTGAGTCTTAATTGAGAAGTCCAATAAATTATAGCTTATTTTGATAAATGTAATATACCGTTTTATCAAATCAGTTTAATTTTATTTGATAATTTTGAAAATTGTACATTTTATTTATCACCCGCCTTTTCAGAAAATATAGCGATGACTTCATCTGCATTCAAATAAAAATTTAAAGTATATTTGATAAACGTATCTACTTATTTCTATAGTCAATTTAAATAATACTGAACAAAAGTTGTAAATAAATATTAAGAATAAACATCATGTTACAAACCTATCGTGCCATAATTACCGCTGCCACCACTTGACGTACTGCTGCCGCTATTTTCTGTTGGTGGAGGTGTTTGCTGTAGACAAAAATATTGATAAATATTATTATATTTAATATAGGTCTATCTAATATTAAAATGCTTACTTTTTGATTACGTTTAAGCCTTGCGTTTTGTAATTGTGCTGCTAAACTATTCACATCATTATCACTTTTCGCCAAACTACCCATTGGTGGCGGAGGAGGTGGTGGAGGCGCAGATGGCGTCTAATTTAATCATAAAACAATTAATTATTAAACACAAAAATGATTAAAATCATATAAAAGACAACATACAAATAATTTTGGAAAATATCTATATAATGTCAAAAATAAATTAATAATTAATTAATGTAGTTAATCATGGACCTTATAATACATGGACTGCTAGTCGAGCGCAAAATAAGTGGTCAAACATAGAAGGATGTGTGACGTCACACGTCTGAGCGAACATCGCCGACGACAATCGCGAACTCTCCCGATTGATTAAATATCAGCGATCAAGCGATTGTCGTCGGCAATGTTCGCTCAGACATGTGTCGTCACATATCCTTCTATGTTTGAGCACTATATATAACTAGACTAGCAGTCCATGTAGTGTAATGTCTATGAGGTAAATGGATCACATTAGTGCAATTCTTTTGTTTATTATTAATTTTTCCTGCAATATCTGTGAACTGTTTCTTTACTTCACAATCATTTGTCGTTGATGAAAATGTAATGAAAATTTAATTAATTGTTCAAGAATATTTACTACAGCTTGATCAATATGGGGATCAATGTGCTGAAAATAGTAAATAATTTATTACTTACACTGATGGCTGGTTGTTGTTGCATCATCTGAGGCGGCGTCGGTGGCATTCCACCCTGTCCATTGTGCCCTCCATTTATCAAATTAGGTCCCGTCTGGCCATATTGTCCGACACTGGCAGATCCATAAATAGGATTCCGGCCCACCTGGCATATTGTAGCCTTGACTCTGAGTAGCATAAACTTGATTTGCATTACTAACGTACGTATGTGCGTTATTTCCTCCGCTATAAATGTTATTAAAATTCGGATTCGAACCGAATTGCGCGGATTGTTGCTGATGAACCGACTGCTGTTGAATGTTATGTTGTAAACTGTTGCCTGTTCCTGGGAATGAATTCGTTGAAGCGGAATTATACATGTGTCCATACTGATTCTGTTGTCCAACTTGTTGGTAGTGATTGCCTGGCGATTGCATTTGTTGTTGTTGTTGGTTGTTGTGTTGTTGCTGGTTCATGTTCGAAGCGTAGATGTTCTGGTTGCTGGATGGTGGGCATGGTGGTGCCGCTGGTGGACTTGCAACGGACATCGCGGGTGGTTGAGGAGCCGGGGGTGCGCTGTGGGGAAATAAAATAATTAATGACTTCATAAGAATAAGACAAGGTTATAGAGATATGTTAAATATAAAACAGTTATGCTTGATTAGCAGTACCATACAAATACAACTATTTTAATGTTGGTTCAAATATTTCTACTTCTGGCCATTGTATGTGGCATAATTGACGCAAGTCAAATTGTAAGCAAAAATGATTTACTTTAAAACCTTAATATATTCGGTTATTTAAATCATGCTGTAACAAACTAAGTTACGCGTGATTGTGAACGCGCGTCAATGATTCAATTAATCAATGAAGTAATTGATCGTATTAGTAAACCTCAATTGCTTTGTAAAAATATATGCAAACAGAACATTACTTTATCATATTCATGTTCAATACGCATAAATAGTCATCAATAACATTTTGGAACAGATGCTCGAAAATTTAATTGATATAAAAATTGATGTGATGAGCAGAAGAGTTTCCAATAACCATTTTTATCGATACGAAAAAATTAAAAGAGAAGAGTTACTGGGAAAGGTCTTTACAGTGTGCAAAGTTTATAATCAGAGATCTAAAAATATATTTTTACATTAATCTATATTATAATCTCCCTAGCAAAGTAATACTAGCGATCGTAATATTTTGTGATATAATTTATTATTGAAAACCATCAACTATCTACCATAAACGAACTAAAGGGTTTACTAAATGAATTCGTAATTCATATTATTGTAATACCAAGTAAGCGATTTTTATTGCAGTAAGTTGGATTAAGGTAAAATAAAAACAGTACAACTTTAAATAAAATATGATGAAAAAATACAGTGTTAATTCAAGTTGGAAACGTCCTGGATTCGATTCCAATTGCAGCCAAGTCTGACATCAGGCAGTATAATGTCAAATTTTTACTTGAAATTGTAGATCTTAAAAATCTTATATAAAATCTCATGGAAAAACCAACGTTCATGGATATAGTTGTAACATACAATCATAACTACCAGGCAATAGAACTAATATAATCGCCACCCATATTATAATGATTAACCGATATGTTGCCTCTCATGAAATAATAGGTTAAGTCTTAAACCAAAAGTATTTAAGACAAATCATCGTAAGTAGCTCGGATGCTGTTGAAATAAAAAAAATCTTGAAAAATTAGAATTACAACGTAATTAATTAAATCAATAGCGCAAACATCGCCAAAAAAATAGTGAAGGCGTATCTGCTCATAATATTAAATTACCCATTCTATGTCAAAAGTCTTTTTTTCAGTCGGGCGCATGCTTAACTAAGACATGTCGTTTTTTAATAAAAATTTATCAACATATAAGAAAACGATCTCAAGATCTACATTATTAATAAAACAAATAGTTCTATCACATATAATTTTCTAACATTATCCGGATTGAAGTTCGAATAATTGGCTCGTTTGATTTTTTTGAATTTTACTTCAGAATAAAAAAACACTTTTAAGACTAAAATCGCTTAAATAAACAAAGTATTTTGTTTGTTACATATATTGAGTTAAACCTTCTATTACGCATTATTAAATATGATAAAGTATTCTATGTATAATCGTAAAGCATAAAATTATTTTACTCAATAAGTTGTATTAGTTGTAAAAAAATAGTAGAAACTAGTGATGTATGGCATCGTGCCTTACAGCAAATTGCTGGAACTTCCCGCACCGTAACGAAATGATCGAGTAATTTTAAATGTTTTCAATAGATTATCATATTTATGAGAATATAATAATTATATTTATATTATAATATTTATAAGAATTATTTAAACTGAATTACGAAGTTAAAATTATTTATTTAAAGTATATAAGTGAGTTAAAAAATTTAGCCAGAATTAAAATTAGACATACAAAAAAAATTTTTGGAAACAAATTGAAATAAAAAAATAATTTAGAAAAAAAATCCCAAAAACTCTTGTTTTGTCAACACAAGCAGAATTTTTTTTGAATCATTCAAATCGGATGCTTAGTTCTCTCAAAAATTGCCATTTTTTGCACATTTAGCTCTGTATCTTCGAAATGGCTGGGCTTGCCCTTGCCAAAAACTAATCAGCACATCTCTCTTTCAATAAGATCGATTGCTTTTTAGTTCATTCATACGCCCCAAATCGTCGACTAAAAATTGTCTCCACACATGCACATACACACATCTATTTTTTCTGTGGTATGTCAAAATGTTCAGAAACTACTGAAACGTGAAGATATGCAAAAAAATTCATTTTCGATTTAAATTTTCTATTTTCGATAAAATTAGAGTATAGAAACTAGTAATACTCGATATATGAAATAAATTATCTTAATATGTTATTTATTGTCCAAGTATACATTCCTAGTAAAAATACCGTTATCCGATGATTATGGTATGATATTTATGGCTCCGTCAAAAAGTGGTCAATTTGGGTCAAATTGTTTGAACATTTTTTTATATATATTGAACAGCAATCAGAACTAATTAGGTGTTTTTTATCCAGTTAACTGTTATCGAAAAAAATACTCAGTATGGCATATTGCATTCGTTATTTTAAATAACGATTATTGAAATATATAATAAAAATAGAATATATTCTCGATCATTAAGATTACCAGGTCACCCAAACAAATATTTAAAAGAATTAAGTGAGGAATTTCCTACACAAAGATTGAAAAAAAAGTGGCCATACGATCTTAAATGAAATGACAAAAATAAAGAGATATTTCATAGAAGACTTTAAATGCATTTACACCCAGCATATTGTCTTAAAAAAATATATTATATTGATCGGCAATAAATCTATGCAGAAAAAAAATATTAAGAAGTTTGTAATATTTTGAAGCTATTACGGTATAAAATATGTAGTTGAATGTGGCATTTTTATAAATAAGAATTAAGATTTAGCTATTTAGAAAACATTTTAACGGCTTTTTTCAAAAATAAATGGTTTGTTTTTCACCAAAAACTAATCAAAGCGATTTGCAAATAATACCTTCTGAACTTATAGTACATGTAATTGCACTGATTTATGTAATAATATGTATGTAATGTATAACGTAATCCAGCGGTTCCCAACCTGTGGGGCGCGCCCTATCATGGGGGTCGCCTTGCTCTTACAGGGGGTGGAGAATATTAAAAATACTAATTTCAAAAATAAGCTAACCATTTTGAATTATTATAAAAAAATTAAAAAAAATTATATTTTATGCATATTTTTACATAATATTGCATATTAATTTGTAGTCTGATAATATCAGTTGAGTGTTTATGAAATTAGATTAGGCGCAACATTTTTTTTTATTAGAGCAAAAGAGGTTGGAAACCACTGACGTAATCTAATGATTGATCAACGGTGATCAGTACAAAACACAAAACGGAATATAACTATGCGGTGCATAAACTAAAGATATTAAATTCCAAGCTTTAATCAATTTTTATAAAAATCATTTTCTGTTGGCTTCTATATTTTGCATTATTTGAATCACTTCACAACAAGAATTTGAATTCTTATGTATGCAATATATGCTTATATTAACTGAAGAAGAAAAATATTGTAAACAAATTTTCAGACGACACAAAACTGTGCGTGTTTGATAAGCGCACCACAGTTAACTGGTTAAGTTTTTGGGATCGTGTTATATTTTACGAACACTATTTTAGAAGGCAACCCAATGGTTCTTCTAATTGGAATTCTTTTTAGTTATATGGTATGCAAAGCCCGGGATGGCTGTTTAGTTGGAATCATATTTAACGCATTTCAGTACCGGTTGATATCAAGCTGTCCGAGGCGGGTTTTAAATCTGGAACTTTATGGTTGCAACGACAATGGTATGAACAAAATGTATTTCAAACTATGTGTTTAGATGGGCAATTTTCTGAATCATGTTTTTGGCTTAGGCACCAACTCTAGGCAATTCTAGACGTCAAAAATTAAATTTATTTCACTATTTCAATGATAAATTCACAAACACAAACTCATGAAGTTGTTTAGCACAGCACACTACTCGACTTCAGTGTCACTCACAATCGTATCACAAAGCAATATTTTTAATAATAGATTTCAGAAGAGAATAAAATCACATTTATTAACACGACACTAAAAAACGTAAGGTATGAAATTCTAGAGGTATTGATTCCGATTTCGACGTCCCTATTGGAAATGTGTCGAAATTACCTCACTTCGATGTGTAGTTCCACCTTATGCATCTCATAGTCTGAATTCCTGAAATTTCCTGATTTCTAAATAATATGCACACACAACTACTAGTAATAAAGATATTCTTACCTAGAAGTTCTATGGTGTGTCATCGGGGTAGGTGATTGCGATCTCTGCAAAGAACCTGTTCCTCCGCCCATGGAATCCCTTTGATGATTGATAACGCCATTCCCTGCTTGCTGCTGGTGAGAGTTGATGCCCATGTTGCTGTTGATATTTTGCTGCTGAAGTCCGTTGTTGCAATTGTTAATTTGCTGCTGTTGCTGCTGCTGTTGAGGATGTTGAGTTGGCGTCTGAGGTGAGGTTACTGAATGATTCTGTTGTATGATGGCCGCATCTTCGCGGGTCATGGTTCTATAAAAATGTAATATTATAATCAATTGCATAAATTATTGGTGATTTTTGGGACGTTTAATTAATATTACGGTAATAAAACCGGTTAATTATAATAGGAGAGTTAGTATGATTTTGAAATTTTTTTAAGTCTTTTTATATGATATTCGTTGTTAATGAAAGCTTTACAAAAATGCCAAACCTACAAAAGACTGCAGTTTTTTAAGTAAAACTTCTTTAGACGCGGCTAGGGTCTGAATCTGTACAAATGCAACGGAAGTGCGTTACGGCCGAGTCGAGTGCCAATGATTCGTCATTTGCTCTCGATGATATCATTTCTATACGGGTCGATTGTGATTGGTCGTATCATGTGCGAGGCTTCTTTGTTTACGTGACTTTGTACGTGCGTACGTCACCGAAAGCGTGAAGCCTTTTGTTCATTTTTCGGTGTTTCATGTCATTACATTTTAAGGTTAAATAGTTGTATTAAATAGTAGTACAAATCTTGAGTCTAGATCGGAAGAATATTTTATCCCGTCCCACATAAATAATTATAGTGCAAATAATAAAACAAATGAAAAATCTGTGCCTTGTAAGAAACGTAACTTTATTGAAGTAATTTGTATTATTCGAGGTTTTCGAGGTTACTAAAATAGTTAAAACTTTGAGGTTATTAATAATATGGAAAATATTTTTATAGGCAAGACATACAGCTGCTCAAAGAATGAGATTATATCGCCAGCAAAAAAAGTAAAAAAAATACAATCAGTCAATGAATGTGTGTTAAAATTAATTACATGAAGTTCTTCAAACACAATTATTACATGATGTGAAAATTGTGAAAACAATATTTCTTTAGGCTTTATTTTACATAATCCACTGTGTGAACGAATATTAGAGAATTTATTAATCAGCAATTACTTCATTTCTCTAATGAAGGTCCAAGTCCTAAATGCTTATTACAATAACAAACCAATCATTTTATATTTGAAGTATGACTTTAATTACATTATTGTTTTCAAATATTATAAATATTTTTAATGCTATTATAAACATATAATTTATAATTTATTATTATATAAATGTGTATAATAAACACTGATAAATGTGGGCATCACAAGTGTTACCACATTACTAATAAACATTATTCAAAATTGTTATATGATGTATTTATTTACAATTGAAATGCCATCCCGTGATAACAAAAAAGTTTTACTTCAATCGCGTGTGAACCTTACGCACAATATTTTTTTGTTTGTGGCTTTCTTGAAAGCCACTGTGTGATCTAATTATGCCAAAATTATTTATGAAATAGAGTCAATTCCTAAATAAGGTAAATGAACGCGTACAGTCAATATTATCTCTTAGAATTTGCTATAAAATTTTGATCTCTTGTTTTTGTTAACGTGTTTCTATCCTATATAACTTTTTATTCTATTCAATCAACAAGAAGATCATTGAAATTGATCACTAGCTCTCACTCCACTAGTCCGGATTTGACAAATTAGCATATGAATCGGTTTTAGTGTAAACGAGTGCTTAAATTATGTCTAACAAGAAAACCGCAAGCATTTGGGATTAATAAACCGAACATTATGTATCTAGTTTTTTTCTCTATATATTTAATAATATATAAAGATCACATGTGCAATCAAGATAATACCGTATGTCGCCATATCAATTATATGGGGCAGCCGAGCAAGAACTAATAAAAAACTCCCAAATTTTCCCATAGAGGCAGAAACTTTAAAAAAAATCTAATGCCATATCAGTTATAAACGAATTAGTAAATTTGTTTACCAAAAGAAGGCAAAAAGTGTATATTTAATTTGAACCTTTAAAACTGGCAATAAGTGACTCCATAATATGCGAGAAAGCTTTAAAAATTGCAATGGTATTATATATTGTCAAAACCCTGGAATATCGGAGCTCTTCCCGAATTATTGTAAAATTTTGAAGTTGGTGATATTTTTAACGCAATTTTTTTTTAATTGATGCTAGATACATTCAATTGTTGCCAAGAAAGTAATTCGTCATAATAGATAGAAGGAAAATAAATAGAGACCGATTATCCTGGCCAGTGTCAATTCTGTTGGATCAGTAAATTTATGGTCCTTGGTGAGTTACCAGGCAAACTATTATAGTTGCTAATGCATCATAATTTTATTATTGAACTAGAAAAAGTGATTTAAATAACGTAATTATAATTATCACACTATGTATTTACTATAATTTTTAAATGTATATTTTAACACCTTCCACTCGCTAATTCCGAGATTTATATGAATGTTGCTGCCGGAGCGGCGGCCATCCGAGTGGAAAGGGTTAATTCTATTTATATTAACTCCTATAATTGATCTGCCTCTTTATGAAAAACGAATAGAAAAGTTGTGTTATATATAAAATCTGACTAATTATTTGCAAGATATTTTTTAAAACTCTTTCTGAAAAGCCACATTAGGTACACATCGTATACTTTTGCTATAGTCCGAACAATTCAAAATAATTCCTTCAATCCTAAAAAATAGCTGTATTACTATCAAAAATGTATTTTATCTTAGCACTGTGTCCTATCCTGTCCATGGATCATAATTGTTAAAAATTTAAAGGCTTCATCAGTCCTAAAATAAAATAATAAATACTTTACAAACCTGTAGCCCATGTCTTCATCATAATGTTGCCCATTTGTTGGTGCAGGAGGCGTGGGAGCAACAACCCTGCCACTTAAAACCTATGAAATACAATACATTTTATCAATACATTTTCAATATTGAAACTTTTGTATGAATGTGATTTTGAATCAGTATTGAATAGTAAATTTATTAGTCCACATTCGTTTTTTAATAAAATGATTCGAATAATAATAATAATAATAGAATGTTGTATGTTTTTTTCAAAGCATGAAACCAAAGAATTTGTATATGCTTGAATAGTCCCGCATTTTAAAATCACATTTGAAAATTTATTATACTGAATTATTTTTTTACTTGTAAATATATGTTTCAAACAAGAGTAATCGTCTAGAATCCTAACAATTAATAAAAACTTTTTGTTACTTGTGATATTTGACCCTTATTTATGATATCAATCAATTATTTTAGGGAAAATTATCAAGAGATAATAATAGAGTAACTTTCTTATATTAAAGGTTAATTTTTACCTCTAAGGCTTGTAGCATGGCTCTTGCAAAATTTTCTCCATCTTCTCGACTAGAAAAATTCAGCCCATACACGATCTTATTGTCACGCCATTGGTGAAAGGTCGGCGTCGCTTGGTTGTATTTTAGTCCTTTTAGTATTGCGCAATTTATCACCACCTATAAGAAAAGAATTATTTTTCATAAATGATTCTATTATAACATACTAAATGTAATTTAGTTAAAAACTGACAAATGATTCTATTAATTGAAAGCTAAGAGGTCGTGGTATAGATTGAAAAGCTCCAACAATTTTTTGGTGTCTAGCTAATAGTGTAATCCAACTTGCCAAGAAATTGGTGAATAATGAAAGTGCTTTACGATGTCAGATATCTTGCGTTCATTATTTTGGAGATATGATTTTTGATTTATGGAAACAATTAGGTGAAGAGCTAAGCCATTTAAAGAGAATGAAAAGTAGTAGGAGCAGGGAAAATAATTAAGAATAATTCAATAAATGACGGCTCAAATATTGCAATGAAGAAGAGAAATAGCGTTAGGGCACAAAGGTCCAATTTGACTTTGAGCAATTAAATTGTGAAAATCAAACCAATTAAATCACAAGTAATAACACATAAACGAACAGCTATCTGACTATGTTCAGTAAAACTTACATCTAATTAATCAATTAAAATTAACATTGTAGAAATGTGTTTTATTTGCTGTTTTACAAAAAATTGTCTCCTGGTCCTTTTTACCCCACAGGCGAGACAAAAAAATAAAATCCAATGTTATATTTTTAATTTTAAAGGAATTTTACGAAATAATAGCGACATTAACGACGACGACATTATCAACGAATGCAAAATATAATTACCATGGGTATATTTTTAACAGAGATAACACTGTATATGAGCTTGATTTGGTATTTCGTTAGAAATATTCATCACCAGATTTGGAATAACTATTTATTAAATTTATCATTTAATTTACATTTATAATTACTTTTGTTTATTGTTTACACCTTTGCCAGGGTAAAGGTTCATTTGGTCATTTGTACTACACCCACATGTGAGCTTGTATAGAGGTTAAATAAAAAAAAACTGTTGAATCTAATTTACAAATATCCATATATTAAGGTCTTGTAAACTAAGCAACAGTGCTCACAATCTAAAAAACTAACAACAAAAGAAAATACTTTGGTTATGGATTTTCAAACATTTCTGTTTATCTCCAGATAGTTGACGAAAGGATCAAGATGATCGCAGGTTATTCATCTTTCTCTTTTCTTTCAAATATTTTTGTCAAAAAATTCTATATTTACTTGTTTTTGAGTTATCGGTGGTGGACCTTTTACCCGTGGACCTATAAGCCCCGCTCTAGCCTATAGTAAAATATTTCTGGATAAACAAAAATAGAGATAAGTGGTAACAGGAATTTAACACAAATATCGAATACCTTTGCTCTGTTTTCTTACTATTCACTTATCGTGATAAGGCTACAACTTTTTACTTAATTTTATTACCTCGTCATTTATAAAAGAGTAATCATTGAATAAGTAATTTTATTGGTATGAAATTGAAGAAACTGATATATTTGACATAAGATGTTGTTGATTTGAATTATTGCTAGTAATAAAGTTGTCATATTTTATAATTATAGAAAAAGCTTGTTGACACTTAATAGACGGGTCGAATCTGTTCTGTCTGATCCAGTTTCCGGGTATTATTCAAGAAAATTAGATGAACATAAATATATGGATTACAAGCATTGTAACTACAATAAATATTATTAAATGGATTGTATTTCTTTTATGTACCTTCATAATAATATACATTATAGTATTTAGCATTATTCTTAAAAACTGCAAAACTATAACTATAGAACATTCATCTTCATTAAACGTAGATATACGCAAGAACGTTGGTGGGGCAGAAGACAGTATTTCGAACAACGTGTAACGGATAACACATAATGCTAATTTAGGTTTTAATATTTTAAACTTTAAATTATAACACACTGATGATGAGACAAACCTAGTCTCGAATTATTATTTAATATCTAATTATTATTTAATAAATTAGTGCAAAAAAAGTGTTGTTTGTTCATATTTCCAAATTAATACGTAAGAACGTAAATCTACGAGGTCAGTCCTAGGTGGTGGTCAAAGTGGAAACACATAAATTTATTTATGGGGCCCGTCCGTTAAGTGCTAGGATTTTCAATCAATTTACCTCATGATCTTGTAGTTTTCTGCCGACCACTCGAAATGTATTGTTGATCTGATGATGGTAGATATGGACCTTGCTGAGACCACTGGAACTTCCTGACGGCACCCATCGCTTATTGGCATCATCGTACACCATCACGCTGGCGCGCGCCGAACTTATGCTTAACTCACTGGAAAAAAGAAAATACTCGATTAAAAATCATATAACAAAATATCAACTGAAAAAAAAAAACAAAAAATGAAAATGATTTTGGAATATTCATGATTTAAATGCATCAACTTTAATTTTATTTCTCCAAAGCTCAAAAGCTCTAAAGCTTGACTATTCAATAAAACTATAGTGGTGCCGTTTTGCGATTTTAACATTCCCGAACCTTAATTTTAAAAAATATATATATAATTTTTTTGAACATTTTTGAAAATTTTGAAAACATTTGAAAAATTTGAATATTAGCAAAATAAAACAGAATTGTTTTTCTTAACAATTATGGAATTTTTTCAAGCATTTGAACATTTTTTTTGAAGACCTAAAATTTTTTTATAAATTTGAAATTTCATGAAAATGTTGAATGACCAATCACGTCATTTCTGGATCTCCGAAACCGAATGTCTGCCTTTGCAAAAATTTAATAAAACTTAGTAATAAACCTCGATTAATAAAAATCAGTTTCGATAAATATACATAATATAAACGCCATGCCAACTTTTTTTCGAAAAAAAAACTTGTTTTGGTTAAAGTTCTATAATTTGCACTAATTGTAAGTCGTGGTGGAAAAGAAAGTGAGAATATTATAAACAAAATTAATGTTAGAATATGGTGAATGGAAAATAATACAAAAACCATTTCAATCATTTTAAAATAGGAAAAGTGTATATGAACGGCATCGGCATAATGACCAGAGATAAAGAGTTACTTTTTGCTGCATTCGCCAGTATAATGAATCTCCGATTTAAAGTAAGTATGCAAATTTAATGGAATAATCACTATTTAACCCGTTTATAGCAGTTTTCAACTGCCATTATCAATGCCCATTTCATTAATTAATGTGTTTTATTTTACTATATAGTAAAAAAAATTATTTGATGGCAACATATCATTGATTTAGATTTACTGGATTTTATTATGTTATTTAAATTGAGTTCAAAATTTATAAAAATAACGAACAAAATCAAAATACAACTAGTGGTGCATGGCATCGTGCCTTAAGGCAAATTGCTAGAACTTCCAGTACCAAAAATTAAAATTCTACAAAAACTTTAAAAATTTTAAAAGCTTTGAAAAAATAGATTTGTGATTTTTGAAAAAAAAGTTTTTAAAAAATTTTATTAATTGACAATTTGATTAAAAATTTGTATCTGCACAACCACATACTTTTTTCTGAGATATACTAAAGTGTTCAGAAACCTTTGAAACCTAAAGATATATATAAAAATTTACCCTACGGAAAGTTAAAAATACAAAAAAGAAGACTTCGTAATATTATGGGGGCCAATTTTCGGACAAAATAGACAGTTATATAGCTTTGTTATGACAAAGCTATTTTATGCTCCTTTATCATATACATTGGTAGTAAAAACTGCCAAATGCTATGTACTTGCTGTGCGATCAGTTATGATAACATTGTTTTTTTGACGTCTGTGCGTTTTCTAAGTTAGATTTTATTAGTAACATGACTGATTGCATAGCAAATACATAGCATTTTACACAGTTTTTACTATCAATTTATATTTATATTGATATGTATTGCCATAACAACACTATGTTACGACCTATTTTATCGGTGAATTGGCCTCTATACCTCGATATAAGGGTCTTCATTTTGAGCATCTTCAAATTCGCTATTCAGCATGGTCTTTAAACTTTCTACCAACCATAAAAACTCAAATATAAAAATAAAATTTTGTTTTTAAATGTAACATAGTTAAAGAATATTAAAATGAATCATTAATTTAAATTTCTTAACACTAAGCGTTTCAAAATATTTATAAGATGAAGCAAAAATAATAACATGTCATGATTCAAGTTTTGATTGAAAGATAAAACTTATTATACAAATATAAACAATCTAATTCCGATTTTCATTTTGTTTCATAATAATGATAAACAATAATAAAGCATATTGTTATCAATACCACGCAGAAAAAATATGAATGCAACAAATGAAAGTAGTTTGAGAAATAATATCTGCAGACAGAGTTATGTCAGATGTGTATTGAAGAAGTTGTAAAAATAATATTGCCCCCGTAGCGTCATAATACCGACTCGAGCAAGAGGTCATAAAAATATACTCACGCTTGGAAAATATGTAAATAAAGTTTATTAAAAAATTAATGCAAAAGAATATATATATATATATATATATATATATATATTTGCAATAAAAATTAACTATTTATTCTCTACGTTTCGATACTGTATGTGTGTCATCATTCAGCACCTTAAACAAATTTAACCAAAAAAACACAACAAACAAACTTTCAAGTCATTGTTTAATAAAAAACAATAATACAATATAATTATGTAGTAAACCACACATGATTAACAAATTGTAAAAATTTTTTTTTGTAGCTGGTTAAGTGTAAAATCATTTAGGTTCATCATTAAGATGAATAAAATTATTCATTATAAGTATTTTCATCATATAATGAAAAAACGTTTCCAGCTTGAAGAGAATTTTAAAAAACTTTACTGGCTGTTGGGTCCGAAGTCCAAACTATCCACCTACAACAAGCTTCTTGTATACAAAAACCAATCTGGACTTACGGCATTTCACTCTGGGGTAGTGCCATTCGATCTAATATAAACATCTTTTAGAGAGCTCAAAACAAGATCCTTAAAAAAATACTGGAGACTCCCAGGTATGTACCTAATTGGCTTGTTCATCAGGACTGCAACATACAAACAATAGCGGAAGAAATTAGCAGATTTGCTGCGAAATATAAGTCAAGATTGGAGAACCATCCAAATGAACTAGCAAAGAACCTACTTTCTGCGAACACTGTCAAGAGACTAAGAAGATTAGATCCACTACACTTAGCATAGTTATATATTTAGTATAGTGCTTGTAATTATTCTCACATATTTATAATTATTATCTGCTTGCAATTATTGTCACATATTTATATTTATTATACTAACTTGAAATACTACCAATGGGTAGTTATTAAAAACTTATTTAATAACTAATCACAACAATTACTGAATGCCTTCTCAGGCAGTTGTAATTTAGATGGAAATAAATAAAAACAAAAAAATAAGTATTTTCATGTTAGCTAGATCTGGCCGAGTACAAATAAATAATAAACTAAATCGATTTTACACATTTAAATATTACACATATAATTTCGGAACTGATTAGTATTCTTTATTAAAAAATCACAGAAGAGAATAGATAGATATATAAAATATGAAAACTGTTTTTCATAATCTCTCATACCAGGCACCTCTTCCGACTGAGATATGAAAATAATGTATATATAAATAAAAAAAAAGATAGAACCTAGTTTATAATAAAATGTAACATTATCAGACATACTTCAGAATTTTCCTGACCAGCCTTAGCTTTAAAAACGAAAAGATGTAAGATGTACTGAATTTTCATTTTGCTGCCTTTTATTTTGTAGTATTTGCTACAAATGAACTTTAACTTCTGTGGAAAGTAGATGAACTTTAGGTTAAGTGGAAATTCACAAAATATATACGAAATATATTATTCAAGATATATACAATATATCAAAATTCGAGATCGATACATTAATATTTCACATGATTTAAATACACACACTAGACTAGGGACTAGAGACTAGAGTAATATAATTTTCAGATAGGTGAGCTAGGGGCTTATTGTAACTGGGGTAAGTAGTAAAATATTTTTCTTTGTCTCGATTGGTCATGTAAACCTTCTTGCATCATGTCGTCATAGTTACTGTCCCGTATGCCGACGCAATATACAAAACTGTGCAGGTCAGTCATTTGATATAGAATTATATCGCCATAAAATTTTGGTTTGCGTGGTTATTATAGACTAATTTTAAATTTTATATATCTTAATTCGTTTCAAATTTATCAATATTTGATAACTGGTAACAATTTTTGTGACTGATAAATACTTAACTTGATATATGTAAAAACATCACACCTGGGGTTAGTAAAAACGATGCCCCACGGCTAGTGCAGGAAAGGTATTGTCTGGTATGTAGTAGAAAATGATTAATTGTAAAAATTAATTTAAAAAAACTGTCACATAGTTCTGAATAATATATACTTATGATGCATACATATGAAAATATATTACTCCGAATAATTTCACACTTAACATTTTCATGTTACTCTTTTATCTTACCCTTCTGATGGCATCAGAAACTTCAAGGCATCAACAAGATAGTAAAAGTCAGCACAGATGAAAGAACGCTACACAAAAAACTTATTTTTCCTTAACTAGACTTTGTTAAATAAATCAACAAGAACGTTGACCATTCTATTGTCAACACTTAATTTTAGACATTAAACACACAGCTCATTTAGTGAAAGAAATTCAACAATGAACGACATCCTTTATGCTAGAAAATTATCTAGCAGACGGAATTTATCTCAATTATAAGCACGCGAAGAGAAAATCACGAATTGTACAACCGAGATGGATGTGAGAGTGGAAAAGATTGCTAAATTGAAAGACCTTTTACTGAGAATTTGGGATTGGGTAAGTTTATCGAGTTTAAAATTGTGTATTTAGAATAAAGTTATAAAGATTGAAAGAAAGCCATTCACGATTGATATACTAAAGATTAGATTCCGCATAAGTCCATTAAATTCTCTTTACAAAACTTCAATTTTCGAATATAATAGAAATGTTATGACAATGCTATGTTACGGGTCTATCTTCGTATGAGTTTGTAGTAGCAAGCTATCAGAAAGCTATGCATTTGCTTTGCTATCAGACGTAGTACACTTAAAACCTAACTTCACGCATGTGTTATCCAAGAGACATCAGAAAGTTGGACTTATGATAAAGATCGTTATTTGAAGTTTGTGCGTTTTGTAGGTTAGGTTCATAATTAAAAGGCCTGATCGCACATACATAGCTTTTTGAGAGTTTGTTACTACCAACTCATAACATGATATATCCGTAACATAGCATTATCATAACTTTGCTATTTTGTCAGAAAATGG